AATGCGTTATTCATTAAGCTATCATGGGGACAATATTAGTAAGCCCTCCTATGTTGCGAATTTACCTTTCACTATTGCCGTTAGGCATTCTGTCAGATGGCTGGCTCCCAGTATGAAACGGACTCTGTCTATGCCCGGGGGCTCGAATTTAGGACGTGTCCTTAAGCTTAACAGGGAAATTCGTTATCCATTAGCCTTCCAATATTTAATGACAGCAAAATTAGTCGCCTCCGCAAGTTTAATCTAAGCGTCTAATCCGACATCGTATGGCTCCTTAGACTAGGTTATTGAGCCTGGTGAAGCACTGGTATTGATCACGGGGATGGCGCCTGGCCATTCTATCTCTACAGGTCGTCGTACCCACGTGGAATAGTAAGACCACTTGTAAGTTAACTGCCTGCATGCACAACCCCCGGACACCAGGTTGTGTTACCATAGTTTCGGAATTTGAATCGATTTTGAAGCAGTCTTGTTTCTAAAACATTCCGATATATGACCGCTAGTTTGGGCTGCCAAACGTATTGTTGAGTGGGTTGACGCCCAACAGCAACAGCTAGCTGTCGTTCAAGATCAGAAAAGATCAGATATTATTAGGATTGCTCAATCTCCATACCAGCAATAGTCTAAATCAGTCTGACCTTAGGCATTTAATGAAGACGCTGCATGAAGGGTTCGCGCAGCCACTTCGAAGGTTGGAAGTCTACCGATAACGTATTTTGTCAGTCATTCCGTACCCACCGGCAATCAGCCTTTCCTACACGCGCGTCCGCGGTAAGTCGCGTCAGCATAGCGTGTTCACATCGCAAGGAAAGCATAGCAAATGTTAGATGGTTAAGTTCTCATTTATTCCACTGGATTTTCCAGCTTTCCTAGTAGAGGAAGACGGTTCAATCCGATTTTTTGTATATTTCCGCAAGTTGTACGTACACAAAAAAACATTTTTCTATTTCCGCAAATCGTGGATGCCCTCGATGTATTAGAAAGGGCCCAGGTATTCTTCCCCTGCCATCTAATAAGTAGTACATTCTCATGGCACCCGGTGACATCAAGAAAACTGCGGAATTTTCAGGCGGTGCATATCAATTCAGGTGGATGCCCTTCAGGTTGGCCTATGCTCTGGTGACTATTCAATTACCGATGAATCGAATACTGGCTAAGTGTTGTACCACATCCTAGTCTATCTTGATAGTAACATTGTATACTCTCGGAGCTTCGAGGAGCATCTTCGCCATCTCCGAGGAGCATTGTTTGCTTTCAGTGCTGCCGGTTTACACCTCAAAACGTCCAAGTATTCATTTACTGTATACGAGGTCATATATTTGGGTCATGATTTTCTTGTTGGGTAGCTATTCTAACCCAGAAAAGGAAAAGTGCCATCCATTACTGTTCACTACTATACTACTCGTCAGTTACAAAGCTCCCTAAGGCTGGCGTCCTACTGCGTCCGGTTCGTTCGGAGCTTCGCCAAGGTCGCAGACCGTGTACGCTTTGTTAAAAGTGGACATCGCTTTTGTGTGGGTTGTGTATTATTAAGTGGTATTTCTGGGCTTTGGAGGTGTCCTGACAACATTTCCAGGAAGGCCGGTTGATCTAAAAGAGACTAACACGAACGGCGCGGGTCTTACAACGGTGCTCGTCCGGTTTTCCGGGGACGTGGAGTGCGTAGTGGCCTATGCGATTAAGCGTGTTCCAGTCCACAAGCCGAGCTGATATATGTCGGAGACAAAATTAATAAGGTATGGCTGTTATCTGAACAGTATAGAAATTTTACTCTTACCTTGCCTCAAGCTAGTTCAAAAGGCCCTAGAGCTGTTGAAAAATTATTTTAACGTTCGTTAACAGAATGGCTCTGTAAGTCTACGTAGATATACGGTGACGACCAATATGCTCTCGAGAGATCGCCAGGTCGCCTTGCCGTCGAAGAAACGAAAGGCTGGCCAGTTCCTACTACAAATAGCCACGTTTGCCAATTCGAACTACAAGGTTTCCAGTCGGTCTTTGCAATCGGATAAGCTTCCAGCATTCGCTGTTTCCGCAGAGGCAGTTCAGAAGACACGAGGGCTGTGTGCACGTGTCTGGGAAAACGTGTGTGCATGTGCTAGCAGGTGTTGCATTCGTTTTGCTAATTTTTGTTCTGGCTCGCCGCGCGACAGCTCGAGCGGTGTAAAGACCCGCTTCGCCTTGAAATCGCCCTGCTCCTCCGTTCTCGCGATGCTACCAGCGGTCGCGTTCAAAATGAGTACTACAGTCAGTGAGGCCCTAGACGCAACGAAATTTGAATTACCGCCAAGACCCAAGGCCATGGTGCCTCGCGAGCCGTCATTAGACCAAGAGTCGGATGCTCGGCATTCAAGCTGCAGACAAAGGCCCCCGTTTGACTTCGACGGGGCAAGCGTGTTCCGTGAGAGACTGCTTCCACGTGCAGGGCAGTTCGGCCCGAGAAATTCAGTTTCGTGCGCCTACCACGCCAGCACTTCGACGTCACAGAGGCTGCTGCCCAAGCTCAAGACATACTAGCACGTCAAGAAGAGCAAGCCACAATATATCCGTTGCTTACGCGGGCCGCTGCGAAATATCCGCAAAGATTAGGCACGGTACGAACGCATCCTACCCACTATCATGAACGCAAGGAACGGACGTGTAAATTACACAATTAGAATAAATGTATTTCCGGTTCCGGCCGGCTGTAATGTGTAATACCCCCTTGGTGGCTGGTCACCGCTAGTCCTCCAGCAGTCAAACCTTGGCACTATATAGTGCGTATATGTATGTATATATATATATATATATATATATATATATATACATAATGTCTCTTCAGTCTTTAAAGTTTTGTTATCTAACTTGCAAAAATGCCGGGCTAAGTAAACTGCTCTATTATTTGAGAAAGAAATTAGCTTACAACAGACGCTTAGTATCCAGCGCAAAACAAACGTGCTTAAGATCAGAACACAAAATTGGAGTTCGCATAATCTTTTCAACAAAGTAACATCGAAAATTTAGGTACGATACTATATCTCTATGTGAAACGTTCTTTGACTAGAACAGCAATAGACAAGTTGTCGTATAGTTGAGTAAAATATGCCAAAAAATAAATGACATATCAAAGCGTAATGGAGTAACCTGTAGGCCTCTTTCCGCAGGCACCAGCTGAACCATATATTGCGTATCCTTCAAGCATACCAGATCGTCTATAACGTTACGAGGAGCATCCGGTAACGGAATATTAATACACATGTAGCTATTAGTAACAAACACCATGGGTGGATTTGATATTCAATTTTATTAAGTGTTTAAGTAACTTCAGACGGAAAACTATGAAGCAGATACGTTACCCACTGGGTTATCATTAAGCTTCACTCTACTCTTGGGTGTTAGCACTACCTTTGGCATGTAATCAAATAGTACCGATTCCTCCATGTGTTTAATTTAAGATGACACCGATTTAAAATACAACACGAGAACCTTTCCATCGGTAAACGAGGAGGAATAGCCAAGCGCCCTTGTTTCCCGTTATAACGTTTTTTTTTTTTATTCAAAATAAAATCACCTTACATATACTCACTCATTATTTGCGTGCCCAGCCATTTGGCGGATAAATACACCAATAATAAAACCGTTGTTTATTAATAAAAACGACTGATAAATCAAAATAAAGCCAATTAACTCATCTCCTTCTCCTAATCCATCGACGAAGAACTAAAGGCACTCGTTCCGTGTTACAGCAGAGCCGTGAGAAGTCCCTTCCTAGCATTGCAGAGCGTAATCTACTGTGTAACATAACTATTCACTGTATAAAAGCTTAAGTTTAGTTACTATAAACGGTATATGCCATAATAGTTCGCGCTGGGTTTCAGCAAAGTCTTTTTTAAGTCATAAAGCAGAGTTACAGGTAGCAGCTGCAAAATTTTAAACTTTTGCATGAATTTACAATAATTACACGAGAGAAACTTTTTCGTGCAACGTACGTGCGAGGGCTAGGTGGAGTGTCAGGCTGTCAATCACGAGGTGCCGAATTCGATTCCCAACTGACACTGCGTTGTCTTTTTAAATTAGCTGATCTTTTTTTGCATCAGCTCGCTGCGCAGCTGCGTTTAACCTGCATGAACATCATTGTGATCTCCAGCCGTGATACCCTCGAATCTGTTTTGAACAGCAGAAACAGGCTTTTAACGGGAGCGCTGGTCTTATGGCTGGTTTCTGTTCTTGCAGAAAAATAAAAAAAAAAAAACTTTTATTCCAGTTTTTATCCTTTTAAGAGCTTTGCTAAGAAAAAGCAATCTGTTCTTTTTGTCTCTTAACAGACGACGTCTGCGTCTCCGATGAAAACTTTTTTTCTTCACACAAATTATGTAGAACTTTTATTATGTCATTTATAGATACCAGCAAACGTAGCGTCAATTAACAGAATACAGTGGTTCATTGGTAGCGCCGTATTCTACCCAGTCGGACAGTTCTAGCTCGTTGATAAACAGGTTTTCGGTTGGCGGCCTTACACGCTCGCATATTCAGACAAGTGTGCACTTTTTTTTTTCTATCAATAGTCGAATGAACTTTTAATCCGATCTGTTAAACTATTTCGTATACTACTCATCAGATGGTTGAATCTTCATGTTCACGAAAGTTTAGGATGCTACACAGAGACGCTAGTCTCAAGGTGTCCGGTAGACGAAATAGCGTGCCCGTTTTTTGTTCATTGTTATTGTTATTTTGAGCAGCACAAGTGTACTTCATCGAAATCACCGTCATAAAAATGATATTATGACGCGGGCTCGCAGCTGCTCGGTGCTATCACCTCTTCGCATTTCGATGGAACAATAATATCGTCCGGTGATAGATTTATTTCTAGCCTCGTTTACGATCGATCTTCAATAAAAAAAAAAAAACTCCATGTGAAGCGTATCTTACTTTAAATTCGTTATCCAGTCTCAAATATTCAAGGAGAATAATTATATAGTTTCCAGTTTAGGAATAGAAACATTGCAATTAATTCTACTTACGATTAGAGATAAGAACATCATCTCCTGTAGAAGATGGCGTCTTTTGGCTGTCATGATTCCCGAGAGTGATTGTACACTGAAATTGCGACCAAACATCATTGCTTCTATTAGAAAGTATATATGTGATAATTTTTATTAAAATATAATTCATGCAAAATTTCCAATCAATTAATTTACCTGATCAGTTTTTAGAAATAATAATAATAATACAAAACGAATGTTTCAGCTTGCGATTCATTCGAGCTCCACTACTCTACCCCCTCCTCCCTGTGCCCCCTTATTAGTAATACGGTGACGTGTAACAACTAAACATATTAAGTATTAATCATTCAAGCGCAGAATTTACTCACGTACCGTTAATTTAAGGCCAACATTGTTTCACCGACTACGTTGCTTGCTCGTAGAGGGCGGAAATTCCTCAGGGTCGATATACTTGCACACGCAACAAGGCCTACTACATGACGAAGATCTATTCTGCATTTAGTCACAAGAAGACACGTGATCCTATTCACGGTAGTCAAACGTAATTGCAAATAAAAAGCTCGAGTACAGCGTTGGCGCGCTCGGTTGAAACTCTCGTTTCGATATAATGCCGAGACGCCACACCTATCCGTTTACTCTATGCGATGCAATTTTCATGGATTCTTTTCGTCGGTGCTCTCCTAAACTGCTCCTAAGAGTATCTTTCCCTATTCTAAAAGCTACTACTACTACTACTACTAAGTATAACGTATCCGAACGCACGCACAAGGGAGGCGCTTGAGGGATAATAATTCATATACGAATACATTATGTTGTGTTTGTCATTTCATTGCAAAAAAAGAGGCAAACTAGAAATGGTCTACCCACTCTTCTGCCCTCTGCTGGCTTCTCAGTGTAACGAATGCTGTAAATCTACATTAACCAGAGTCGTCGTAGTCAAATACCTCTGTCAGATTACGATCGGCGGCATGTTCTTTGTCGTACAAAGTCCCGCAGCCTGCCAATGTTCGGGCTAATAGTTTGCCTGTACATCAATTCGAACAGTCAGAAACGCGGTCGTCAGATCAGCCGTCGATTGCTACCATTACCTTAAACCACTGCTGGCGCCATTACCGTAGCACGCGCGCTCCGTTGTATCTACAGGCACTATACAATTGCCGATACACAACTGCTTAGCACCGCTGTTACTGGCGATAACCGTGGCTACCGAGAGGGATTCTGTGGCTGCATTCTATTTGCCTTATTCCGACGTTTTGCTTTTCCATTTTTTCGTCTTCTGTTTCCACTGAATAACCTCTTTTGCGCACGTGATTTCCTATCCAGATATTGTTCTTTCGCTCTATTCGATATTGTTGTATGTTGACAGGACAACGGCTCGACACAGGCGGCGCGACAACAAACTATCGGTAAATTCCTTAAAAAATGTTCGAAAAATGATAAAATAACAAAATTTTTTTTGTTACTTTATCATTTTCCGAAGCAGCCGGATGGCATGAGCCGTTGTGGGTGAATCAATTGATCACAATCTTTTTTCCGACAAATGTCCGAACACTCCGAATCCAACCGTTCGACAAGGGCTGCTTCGAAGCATAGATTTAAGTTTCGAATTGTAAAAGATGACACTGACAACCCGTTCGATATTAATGGCTTACGTCAAAAAAGTTCAATGTACACTTGCAGGCACTTTTATTAAAGGCACAACAGAAAAAAGTAAGGTGAATATTTATCCTATGTACATATATCATGGAATGGATCACATAACTGAAGAAGGCGGGTATAATCCTTGCGGTCGGAATGTACTTCTGATAATGCTTTTCCGTAGAATATTAGAAGGATCAAGAGAGGTAAAAATTATCAAGATGGAAACGGTTGTTGTTAATTAAATCAGCCAAAAGACGGCGGACCCTTCATTCGATGCGAGACTATCTTTTCTAAGTGCGCTAAAAAGTTACTACTGCTGCTACCATCAATCCGAAAGAATCGTTTGGTAGTTTATAGCTTACTAATGACCTTTTACCGTCATCATATGAAACTGCAGAACTTTAATACGAATGAAAAGGATGGCATATGTTCGATAGAATACATTTTTTTAATATCAAGCTTAGGGTCAAAAAGCTTCATTATGAATGCCTACTATGTATGGGTAAACGTTGTTCAAAATGAGGATCAAACGAAGCTTCACATCCAGAATAAATCCCGCGCCGAGGATAAAGAACAGCGGCAAAAGACGACTGAACGAGGATGTACGAAAATTCTGTAGATCACTTTGAATCTTAGCCTACAGCTGACACCAAACCTCAGTCTGCTCTTTTGCAATTGTGACCATTTTTACGAATATGAGAAAGCCCAGATATAGCTATTGCGTGTCCCTGCGTGTTTGGGGCATTTTAGCTTTTGTAGATATCTCCGTAAATGTATTATGTAATTCTACAAAGAAAGTAACAGAAGGTGAAATGTCGGTTTTCTACCGACATTTTTTTCTTGAATTAGATTAGTGCGAGTATTCTGAGCAGATCCAGTTGACTTTAAAAAAGAGTGCTTGCTTCATTGATGACCATTCCACCTTTTTTTGGCCGTCTCAAGATCTTTGGTGCTGTCTCAGAGAACGAGACTTCGGTTATCATCTTCCATGATGAATTCTCTTGACAGGCTCGCGTCGCAGACAGCAACAACAACAACAACAATGCAGGACAAGACAGAACAGCAGAGGTAGAAGTGAGGGTATTAAATGAATAAGATCTATTCTTCTGGTACTTCAGCTCGCGTCCTAAGCGTAGATGCCTGCGTTTGTTTGAGAACTTGTTTACCATTATTCTGCTTTCTTCCTCTGCTTGTTTCGTCTAGCAGTGCTGCTTTTCCTTGCCTTGACTCACTTACTTTATTTGTTTATTTGACTCGGCCGCGGCAAGTTTTATGAAAGCAACCTTGCCGACATTTCATGATCGGGGCCCCCGCTGTTCCGTCGAAACTTTGGGAATCCGGTCGGACCAAACGTAACGCGAACAGATACCGATTAAATTGGTAACTTACTGCGGGATTATGACACCGCACTTGTCGACCCGTTAATCCTGGCATAACGTAGTAAAAGTAATGGTAACACTACCAGTTACTGCTATACATACTGTTACTATTCGGCTATTTCCTCCATTAAGTATTATAATAAGCAATGTCTTGTACATCTCAAGTTTACCATCAAGGTAAATTTATGCTGCAGTTAATATTGTGTTTCAGTTCAACTTTACGTCTATTGAATACCCTACGGTCCTTGTACACGTAGTCAAGTGTCTAACGACCGAACGCCAGGCTCTAACAATTATATTGTTTTTCGTCATAAACAACGTTCAGTAGCCCTATATATACCTTTTTATATTAGAAACAAAGAACCGTAACACGGAGTATTAGCTTGATCGATATAATAGCTACTGTCAGAGGAGGCTAGTAAAGATCAAGTCAAAATCGCCCAGCCTACATCCTGTCTTCTAGCGATTTCAGTGTATGTTTGTTTTTTTTTTTATTTTTCCTTCGTGCATGCATGAAATTGACGACTAGTAAAAAAGCATAGAAGTAATTTAGTTTAATTGGGTATCGAACGGTCCAGTTAATGGCTCCTTAGCTAAATCGTTACAGTTTTCGACAAAGCAGAAAATTTACTGATAAAACGTAATCTATTCAAACACGAAACAAATTGATCGTTTGATCTAAGCGATATGGGTAGTAGATACAATATATTAATACCTAAATACAATACCTGTGTCACAGTAGTTGTTTCCACATATGTTTCAACGCCGCTGTACATAGTAAATCAGTAAACGGATTAAAACATTTGCGAAGACTATGATGTATCTATATACATAGTCTTCTATAATTGATTGCCAATGCTCAATAAAAAGCGGTGCAGATAAGAAGTGAGCTCAATGGTTTCGACTCGACTGTTACAGCCAAGTTCCTACTGCATGGCGATCGTATGGCCGTTCACGTCACTTATGGATACGATCATTCATGCAGAAATGCATACAAACGTTCGCTCATCTAAAATGAGATAGGAATATTTCTGTGCAGGCACCAGTGGCCTTATTGTATATACATGGACAAACCCCCTTTACCAGCAGCAGCAGCAGCAGCTACTTGTGAATTAGGACAATGCCGGTGGTACTTCAAAATGGAAATCCCTGTTTAAAATATCATTCTAGCCAGTGTAATCAACTGGATTTACCTAGTTTCATGAGAATTAGTCCAGACGTAGGTTCCAATAAAGGTCATAACGGAGGAACCCAAAGAAGGGGTCTTAAGTTTATGTCACATTGTTAAGACTGACGTACATTGTCTGTGTAGGGTGTCACCCCTCCGCTCAATCCGCAGTAAGTACCATTAAATGCTACTTCGTGTAGTGTCAAAAGAACGCAATGGCCATACAAGGAGAAAATGGTACGATTTACGGATAATATATATATTACGAAGATAAAAAAAATTCATACATGTATTACTTCCAAAAAATCCGACGATACTAAACTATGAAGTTAGGTAACTTTTAACCAAGGGATAAAAAAAAGTGAAAATCATCACTGAAAGATAGCACGTTCGTTATCACAAACAAAATTGAAAAGAATAAACTATGAGCAGAAGGCAAAGTTACACTGAAAATGATTCTTTAGACGAACTGCCATAAAGTCGCGATTGCGCAGTGACCCTGCTGTTTAGGTTTCAGACCTAGAAAACCGTAATATTATTATCTTTCTGCAAGAGTAATTCATGTGAAACGTTTTCGATCCCAAGCAGAAAGACGTATACGGCTTATTTCACGGTTTATGGAAAAAAATAACACGTTTTATCTACTGAATCGGTGTATCAATTGACGTTGAGGCACGGCTCTATAATACATAGTAACTATGCTTTATGCTGCTCAATAGGCTTATATATATATATCTGTCGTACAGTATATCTGTCGTATATATACTGTACATAGTCTCTGACAATGACTAAATTATAAAATAGAGTTCGATTCTTACAATAATAAGAAAAATATTTAAAGTCCCTACTGACTGATATCTAGAAACACACGCATCTATGATGAACACAGAAGCAATCTAAATAGTGGCAGTCTTGGTTTTATTCGGCTTTTTAGTAAAGCCACTTCAAAGTGCCTCGGGGGAATTGCCGCACGACTGGGGTATATGGTGCAAGATTTATTAGCACCATGAAATTGTCTTTCATGTTGTGAACACACAGAGAGCTAACGGATGCAGCCACACAGCGTCAATAGTAATCGACGAGACAGAAACCTATTAAAAAAAAAAAACTTTCAAAAGTTTTCAAAAGCTGTTGATGTACTGCCTTCCACCCGGTAACGTACAGCGCGATTTTAAAAGCTCGATATTCTTAGAAGTTTAACTGCCTACTGGCCCGAGTACTGTAGACCGTGCGAGAACTTCGTGGCAATTAAGTCAACTTCGTACCTGGGTACGTTTTAGGCATTTAACAGGCACACAATGTGAAACTAACCCAGTCGCAGAGGAATGATGACTAATACTTAGGAATCGTTTGTTGCCATTCGTTAACCTAGAAAAAAACATGCCCAAATATCTTATATCGGAGCCCCCAAAAGAAAATCGGTTACCGTTACGTGGCCCGGTGTATTTATATCGACAGGTATTGCACTTTGTATCTCTGTACAACGAGTGACAAATTCTTTTATACATAACCTTCCTGGTATATGGATCTTTCAATATCAGTTGCTTCATAGTGCGTCTCTGTGTGCGCGAGTCAAATGGCAATTCCAGCATTAAGACAATTACGTACTTAGATATTTTCGGTAAGTTCGTCTCAAGTTTAGTAAAGAGCTGTGTGTAGATTTGCTAACTGCTAAGCGGATCTAGATGGTTCAACTTAAAAACTTGTAGTAGCTTGTTTTTGTTGGTTAATGTAGCTGAGCTCATTAGCATATTCTACTGGAAATCAGAGCGTACATACAGACTCAGGAAGTTTGAAGCGTGCCAATCCCGTTAGCATACTCATGCCTCTATGAAAAAAAGGTGCCAGTTGAGCTGCAAGAAAACAACTTTTCACAACAGATAAACCCCATCAATAGAGCCGATTTAACCTTTTAGTTAAAACACCTAAAAATCATCTTTTATATCAGAGAAGAAAAAACATGGCGGAGCAGTTAGCTTGGCACCGGCAACGAAAGTACCAAAGCTGATTCTGAACTTAATCTTAAGCAGCAAAAAATAATAACATAATAAATTCGACGACGATGGTGCGTTGCGAGCGGGAGGTTCTTTTTTAAGTTTGCAATGCCTTAATCCTTATACGCAGTGGAAAAATTGCGTTATTCCAATGAGGAAGTTTCGAATTCTCTCATCTCTATATCGGC